CTAAATCCCCAGTCCAAGAAAATTGGTTTGTTTTTGTAGACCACTATTTTTATTTATTTATTTATTTATTTTTGGTACCAGGGATCGAACTCAGGTCCTTGAGCTTGTGAGGCAGGTGGCAGAACCACTGAGCTAAATCCCCAGCTCTGTCTGTTTTAATATAGCCACTCTTGCTCTCTTTTACTTAGTGTCTCCATGGAGTATCTTTTTACACCTTTAGGCGTTTAACTTACCTATATCACTATATTTAAAGTGAAATTTTTTTTTTTTTTTGGTACCAGCAATCAAACTCAGGACCTTATGCTTGCGAGGCAGGTGGCAGAACCACTAAGCTAAATATTCAGTCCAAGATTTTTTTTTTCTTTGCAGTACTAGAGATTGAACCCAGGACCTTTGCACTGAGCTACATCCCCAGACCTGTTTTTTCTTAATTTTGAGACAGGGTCTCACTAAGACATTAAATTATGCTGCTGAACTTAAACTTTTGGTCCTTCTGCCTCAGACTCTGAGTGTTGGAATGTGCACTAAAGTGGGTTTCTTGTACATAGTATACAGTGCGATCTTTTTTAAAACCATTCTAACAACCTCTGTTTTTAATTTATACATTTAGATCATTAACTTTTTTTTTTTTTTGGTATCGGGGATCAAATTAGGGTCTTTGCGCTTGCAAGGCAGGTAGCGTAACCACTGAGTTAAATCCCCAGCCTCTTTTTTTTTTTTTTTTGACACAAGGTCTTGCTGTGCTGTACAGTCTGGTCTCAAACTCCTGGTCTCATGTGATCCTTCTGCTTCAGCCTCCTGAGTCCTAGAACTCCAGGGCTCTGCCAACAGGCCCGGCTAGATCATTCGCATTTAATGTAATTATTGCTATGTCTGGATTTAAGTCTATCATTTTATTATTTATTTTGTTTGATCCTTAGTTTTTGTTTTCCTCTTTCCTCTCTTGAATATCTTCATTCAAAATATCTTATTTGAGTAATTTCTAAAATTCCACTGTATTTATGTCTAGAGGTTTTGACCAATTATCTTTGAATATCCTTTTTTCTTTAGTGGTTACGCTAAAGATCACAACATATATACTTTTCAGTCTACTCAAAAATAATATTTTACACTTTCAAGTAGAATGTAGAAATATCTTAATTCTTTTGCTGTTTCCCTTTTCCTGTTGTGGCTGTCATATGTGTTATACTGTTATATGCTGATGATTTTTTTTTGGTACTGGGGATATTGAATGTCATTTTTTTTTTCCAGTCCTAGGGACTGAACCAAGGGCCTTCATACTAAGCTACATCCCCTCCTTTTATTCATTTTTTATTTTGAGACAGGGTCTCACCAAGTCAGTAAATTGCCCAGGCTGGGCTCAACTTTTGATCTTCCTGTTTTGGCCTCTCAGAGTGCTAGGATTACTGGTGTGCACCATTAGGCCCGGCTTTGAATTTACCAAAAGCTCTTAATTAAAACAAAACAACAACAACAACAACAACAACAACAACAACAAAACTGCCTAGCATGCTAGGTCCTGGGTTCCATCACAGCAAGGCAAAAACAAAAACAAATGCAAGATCCCATCAATGCAAATGCCATTTAAAGGTGCCATTCGTTCTTTTGGGTTTCAAAGATTTTTTTCATCCAAACTGGCGTTTGATGAGAAACTTGAGATTTTCCTGCGCATCTCCACTGAGCAAGCAGCTGTGCTCATGGTAGCAGGAGATCCCCGCAGACCCAGCGCAAGGGGACCTCGGCTCTGGGGGACACACGGTCCAGACAGGTACAGACGCGGGAGGGAGCAGGCCAAGAGCACCAACCGGGCACGGAGCCGGCCTTCCCTGTCCCAGGCCCGGCCTTCCCTGTCCCAGGCCCAGGAGGTGGCAACAGGCTGCTCCCAGATGGTAGGTCGAGATGGCCAGGGAGGCCCCCATGCTGCTCCCACCACTGGACCTCCCAAGCTGCAGGGGAAGGCAGCCAGAATAGTGCTGGCGGAGGCTCGCGGGAAGCGGGAGTGCAGGCGCCTTACGCCAGGAGGCCAGGAGTCCAAGGCAGGTCGGGCCTCATGATGTTTTAACTTTTGCTTTCAACTGTCATACATATCTTTTTTTTTTTGTACGGGAATCGAACTCAGGACCTTGTACTTGCAAGGCAGGTATGGTGCCACTGAGCTAAACACCCAGTCCTGTCATACATATCTTAAAGAACATTAAAGGAAAACATATATCATATTACTTCCATTACTCTTCTTACATTCCTCAAGTTACAAGATGCTCTCACGCATCATTTTTCCGAAAAGAACTTGCCCTAGAATTTGTTAGAACAATGAATTCTCTTATTTTTCTTCATCTTACAATGTCTTTATTTTGCCTTCATTCCAAAGGTTATTTTCAGTGGATACAGAGTTCTGGGTTGAGAGTTCTTTTCTTTTAATACAATAAAAATACTGAAGGAAATGAAATTCTTCTCATCTCTGTGACTTCTGATAAAAATCAAGGAACAACCTGGATGCTCAAAAAGTTTGGGATTTCAGAGTATTCTGGAGTATTGTACTAGGGACGCTTAATAGATAGTCATGCAAATATTCCAAATCCCCAGATCTCCAAGATCTGAAACATTTCTGATCCCAGGAATTTTGTATATGGTATATTCAACATTTATTGTGTCATTTTTTTTTTCCTGGTTGCTTTTAAGATGTTTGCTTTCATTTTAGTGTTCAGCAGTGTAATGTCATTGAGTTCATCCTCTTTGGTGTTTGCTCAGGTTCTTGAATCTTTGCCTTTTGAAAAATCTAGAATTTTCCGGCCAGTATTTCTTCGACTATTTATCTGTACATCATACTCTTACTCATCTTTTGGAGTCCAATGATACAAATGTCAGACCTTCTGGTATTTCTCCATAGTTTCCTGAGGCTCTGTTGAGTTTTTCCTCCCACTCTTTTTCCTGTTGTTCAAGCTGGATGATTTCTACTGATATATTTTCAATTCACTGACTTTTCTTTTTTTTTTTTTTTAACTTGTTATTAAGCCAATCCAATGAGTTTTCAATTTTTAGTTATTGTATTTTTCAGTTCTAATGTTCCTATTGGTTCTTTTCTGTATCTTCTATTTTTCTGCTGAGATTTTCAAGAATGTTCTCTTTTAGCTGGGTGTGGTAGCACATGTCTGTAATCTCAGCCCCAGGGGAGGCTGAGGTAGAAGGATTTCAAGTTCAAGGCCAGGGCTGGGGATTTAGCTCAGTGGCACTAAGCCTGCCTTGCAAGTACAAGGTCCTGAGTTCGACCTGAGTTCTATCCCTGGTGTGGGGGGGGGGGATATCCTGACCAGATCAAGTTCAAGGCCAGCCCCAACAACTTAGCATGTCCATATCTCAAAATTAAAAATAAAAAGCAGTGGGGGAGTAGGTCAATGCAAGGCTCTGGGTTCCTTCCCTCCTGAGTACAACAACAACAAAATTCACTCTTATTTGTAGGAGCATGGTCTTACTATCTATTTTAAAATATCTGTCTGATAATTCTAACATCTGTGTCACCTTGGGTTTCCTATCCGTTGATTGCTTTCCTCTTGCAAGTCCATGAGATTTTCCTGGTTCTCAATATGTTGAGACACTATGGATGGAACCTATGATATTGTGAATATTATGTGGTAAGGCTCTGGGTCTTCTTTAAACTCTGGAGAATGCTAACATTTTCGTTTTAGCAGGCAACTTTGCAGGCTGAGTTTTGCCTGCTGGGCAAGAGGCAAGAAAATAGGCAGTAAAAGAAAAGCAATCCAGATTTCCTCAGGCCCGTAGCAGACATTTAGACACCTATGTTGCCACTGCTGTTGCAGTTACCACAGCCCCAGATTGGCCTCGGGCTAGGATGTGAGTGAGGAGAAAAAGAAGAAAAAGCCCCAGGGGAACTCCCCTACTCTTCATCCTGAAGAGTCTCATTTCCTGCTCCTGAAACTAGAAAGAGAAGGCTTAATTTGTGATGTAGTTCTAGATCTCAGACTGACATTGAATTCATATCAGAAATAAAATTAACACGACATTCACCACCAGCTTGGTGGCCTTCAAGTTCCCTAATTTATGAGGTAGGATTTACTTTCCAAAGTTCTCAGAGAGCTACCAAGAACACTTGGTACAGAGTTTTAAGCTCCATTTGGCAAGAGGTCTAGGTGGGGTATGCTTACTCCATGTTACCCATTACTGGAACAGCAGGGGCTCATAATTCTGTTGCACAACCAGGGTGGGGAACAACTGTGTACATGTACATGGACATTATGCAGGAAGGACTGGCAAACTTATTCTGTATAGGGCCGAGCTGTAAACATTTTAGGCTTCAGGATTGTTCATGGCAACCACTCAACCTATTCAACTCTGGCACTGTTGTGTGAAAGCAGCCATATACAAGACATGTAAGAAGGCGAGGCTAGCTTGCAATAAAACTATTTAATAAAACAGCTGTCAAGGGCTGGGGATTTAGCTCAGTGGCACTGCAACTGCCTTGCAAGTGCAAGGTCCTGAGTTTGATCCCCAGTACAAATAAAAAAGCTGTCAAGCTGTATTTGGCTCACAGATCATGGTTTTGAGATTCCTGTACCACATCACAAATAATAAGGCTGGTTAAAGGCAAAGTTTACTTTTGGGCTTTTTTTCCATCATTAGATAGCAGAATTCTTCAAATAACTGGAAAAGTTACTGCTTTTTTCATCCACTGCTAGTCCCATGATAGACAAGAACTATACCATACATTCAACTTTGATTCAGTTATGCTCTTTGATTCATGAAGCATCCACCTCTCAAGAGCTAAAATAAAATTTTAAAAACTGAAATTTCAAGATTTCATGAACTTTATATTTATATACAATTAAAAGTTCTCCAGTTAACCTTTCAAATAAAAATCCTAAGTCACAATTTTCTCAAGAATATGTTAAAGCAGAGGAGGTGTCATTAAAAAAAAAGTGTCCCAACTTGTTTTTCCAGAACCTTCCAAACTGGAGGTGTGGCTAGTTCATTATCCTTTCACTCACCTGGTTTCCTGCCACAGAGATAGAAGGCCAGTCTGTCAGTCAGCTCATACTGTATCTCTACAAGGCGCTCTGCCAGCTCATGGTGCCCTCCTTGCCTACCAAGAGAACAAAGTACCATCAATACTACTCACTATTCACAGGTTTCAGAGTAGAAAAGTACGAAGACATCCCGAGACACCTCAGCAGTATATCAAACATAATTTTTAATTTATTTTTATTTTTGATACCGGGGATCGAACTTGGGTCCTTGCGCTTGTGAGGCAGGCAGCGGAACCACTGAGCTAGACCCCTGGCCCTAAACATGATTTTTTAGAATCAACTTTTCTGTGTGAGGCAGACTGCCAACATCTACCTTGAGTCTCAGTTTTACAAACTTTTTTTACCTTCTGAACTATCCCCTTTCCTTTATAAACATACAGAATAGAATAACTTAATAAGATATTCAAAGACTTATGAAGGATAAAGATTAACTTTATTTAATGAGGTGAGAAAATAAAATGAAGGTAGAGGTTCCCAGCAGTTAATGAGGATGTTCCCAGAAATGTACAATATTCAGGCCTCACCCTGAGAAATTCTAAATCAGTAAGGATGGGATGGGCCCAGACATCAGTATTCTGAAGAAGGCCCTTCCCCTAGATGATTCTGGTACAGCCAGGCTATCTCTGGGTAAGTTTAAAAACTACAGTACCTGAAGGGCGTCAATTTAGAGACAGACCAACCTAATGTAGAGCTCAAACCTAAGGCTGTTTTCTTTTTGTCAGGGGGAGACGGGGGTCAGTTTTTTGAGATAGCGTCTCACTATGTAGTCCAGGCTGGCTTTGAATTCGCAATGATCCTCCTGCCTCAGCCTCCCTAGTGCTGGGATTACAGGCGTGCGCCACCACACCCAGCTTCTCTTTATCTTCAATTTCTGTAGCAGAAATATGAAATAAATATTTAAGCTACTTGGAATCCTTTTAATAACAAGGCATATAAAAAATGATTATGTGGAGAGACTATTATATGTAAAGTACATATGAGGAAATTCCAAAGAAAATGATAAAGTGTTTACTGTGGGCTCTTTTCCTCTTCAAAGGTCAAGTCTCATTTCAGTCAGTTTCTCCTCCTACCACTCAAGGCACCACAAACTACCCACCAACTGGCCTGGGGATTTAGCTCAGTGGCGCCTCGCCTGCCTTGCAAGGGCAAGGTCCTGAGTTCAGTCCCTTGCTACCAAAAAACAAAACCAAACAAATTACCCACCAACCACCATATGTCTTTGATTTTTAACATGTACTTTTTTTTAAAACATCTGTGAGGGCCGGGGATTTAGCTCAGCGGCACTGCACCTAGCTTGCAAGCACAAGGTCCTGAGTTTAATCTCTGGTACCAAAAAACAAAAAACAAAAAAAGATCTGTGAAATCATAATTGATTACCTGACAGACCTTTTCTAATGCTGCAGAAAATAGTGATGCACTGTACAATCAATGCAGACTCAGATCTGATGGGACACTGGATTCCTGCTGTTTTCAGGCACCTCAGCTCTCTCCAGTCTGGTTTCCTGCTGTGTCCAACATGCTGTGTCCATACCAACTTCTGACCTTGACTGCCTTTCCTCTCACCTGGAATACTTTAGTTACTCCTTTACAGGTCCACATCTAACCTATTCTTCAAAGAACTAAAGAAATTTCCCAATGATTTGGGCCACAACAAAGAAACTACATATATTTTTTAAGACTAACTCTGTTTTGAATCACTCGTTATCTTGCCTCATTTAACCCTTTCAGGCATATATGAGTCATTTCTTCCAAAGATAAATTCTGGGAGGACAGTTTGTCATTTCACCCATTTATCCTGTGTGCATCAGAGCACGGGGTTCTGCAGTAAAAATAAATTTGGGAAAAAAAGGAAAGATGATTGGTCTTCTGTCCTTTAGTGATATTCAAGACTAACCTATGGATTTACTTATTTTTTCATATTTTTTTTATATTAGAACTTTCAAATAAAGAAAAATTTAGCTGGGCATAATGGCTCATGCCAGTAACCCCAGCTTCTCAGAGGCTGAGGTGAGAAGACTGCTTGAGCGAAATAAACTAGTTGAAGCAACATAGTAAAACCTCATCTCAAAAAATAAACCACTGGGCCTGCTGTGCAAGCGCAAGGACCCGAGTTCAATCCCTGGTACCAAAAATAAATAAATAAATAAATCACCGATGGCTGATTTAGCTCAGTGGTGCAGCACAAGTGCAAGGTCCTGAGTTCAATCCCCGGTACCAAAAATTGAACAAAAAAACCCCACCACCAAACGCATACAAAAGGAAAAATTTTTAAATTGTACAGAGAGCATCCAGATGTCCACTACCTAAAACTTACAATTAACAATTTCCTACACTTGTTTAGTCCTACTATTTCCAGATTTGTTTTTAAATTCAAGCAATGACTAAAGAGTATTACAAAACTGAAGTGTGGGTTCTGTAATTTCTTGATACTTGATTTGTATTCTATGTCTCAAATACCCGTGTTATAAAGGATCAAGTCAAAGATGAGAAGCTAAGCACACTGATTTATAATTCTATCTTTCTCTAATTTTGTCAGGCTGGGCTTATATGCATTTGAAATGTATTCATCTGCAAAAGAGAATGTAAATTTTTGAGGTTTGTTTTTTTTTTGAGACAGGGTCTTGATATTCAGTTCAGGCTGGCTTTGAACTCACTAGGTAGCCCAGTCTGGCCCCAATTCACAGTGTTCTCCTGCCTCAGCCTCCCGAGTGCTGGGATTACAGGTGTGTACCATCACATGGACTTTTCAGAATGTAAATCTTGAAAAGGGTTAAACACTAATCAGACACAATTTAGTTACCTAACAACAACTCATATCCAACACAGAGAGTATCTCAGTCTCTTACCTTGCATAATCAACAGGAGTTTTCCCACCAGAATCTTGTGTGCCCGGATCTGCTCCATATACGGCCAATAATTCAGCTTGTAAAATCTGCCCTGCTTTGGAGGCAACATGGAGTGGTGTATTTCCTTTTTCCTAAGAATCATTAATAAAAAGTAAACACAAAAAAGCAAATTAAATAAACTAAAGGCTACATGAACACTACTCAGTGACAACTTAATATCTGAATCAATACACATTTTCTTACTGGATGAAAGAAGTTAGCTTGGGCTCCTAAAGATAACAGTCTCAGACACGTTTCAAGATTCCCTGTTCTCACGCTTGAATGGAGTTGCTGAAAAAGATACAAACAAACAAGAACATCTGTTGAAAGTATCAGGAATGACAGAGCAGCTGATAGCCTATTTTAATATATATTAAATTAATAACACATAATCTTTATTGGATTCTGTTAGGTAAATGGAAAAGTCTCCTAGTCTCACAGGGCAGGCCAGGCCCATTTTGCTGATAGGGAAACTAGGGCCATGAAGACTGACCTGCCAAAATGCAGGACTCCTCTAAGTAAGTGACACAACCAGAACCTGAGAGAGAGTACAAGGTGGCTGCTCATGGCTCTGAAATCTGATGGGACGTGAATTTCAAGCCCTACCTTTTCCCTTCAAGCTGTGTTACTTTGGGACAGTTCTCTAAGTGAACTGAACTTCAGTTCCCTCTTCTCTAAAATGGTAATAATAACACTACCTACTGACAAGGTTATTATAAGGATTCAATGATATAATTAAGTACTTGGGACTGAACCTGGTGTACAGGAATTTCTCAGATAATTCAGATGCTATTATAATAATTATTATTACTTGTCATTGTTATTGACTTTACAGCTTCAAATTCTACACTGGTAAGATACAGGACTTTGCCTTACACTTTACTCTCTCCACAACACTACTCCTGGCCTAACCACAATGGTTTCCTAAAGTCTCCCAGAGTGGGAAATAGGCCTGTAGGACACCAAATTCTATACTATTGCAGAAAAGCTCAAGCATTCAGAAGAGGAGCTGCCTTCCTTCAAGTCCAACCTAGACTTGTCTAAGATGCAATATTATAGGAATGGAGAAATCTAGTCTATCATCTACATCCAAATCTCATTTTTTTAAAACTTAGTAAAAAAAAAAAACCCACGTGAGTCTTACTTATTAGTAGAATAATTATATATGTTTCTATGCAAAGTTTAATATTCTGAATTGTAAGGGCCAGGCTCTATGTGAGAATTTGTCAAAACTAGTGTTTTAAAAATATGTGAATTTCCTGTAGCACCTCTAAAACATTCTAAAATCCATGTAAAGAAAACCATCTACTCATTTTATAAGTATAATAAACCTGTGTACTACAACTTTGAGTCACATTCTACTTTCTGCATTTTTTTTTTTTTTTTTTGGGTACCGGGGATCGAACTCGGGTCCTTCCGCTTGCGAGGCAGGCGGCAGAACCACTGAGCTAAATCCCCGGCCCTCATCCTACTTTCTGAAGATCCTTCTTACTATGCAACTTGGGAAGCTGTCCTTATTAGAAACAATTGTCCAGCAACTTTCTAGTCTTTTCTAGAAATATACTCTGAGATGGCACTTATTTCAAAGTTAAACAAACAAAAACACTTACTGAACTATAATTAAAAAACAGTGAAAAGGGCTGGGGATTTAGCTCAGTGGTGCCAACGCCTGCCTCACAAGTTCAATCCCTGTTAGCAAAAAAAAAACCAGTGAAAATATAAAAATAGTTTTCTAGCTCCCTATATTTTTCTCTCTCCCCTTGTACTTCATTCATTAGGAAAAATGGCTGCCATGTGAATTAAGGTTAAAGATGAAACTGACTGGAAAAAAAAGGTATTATTAATAATTTAATAATTTTTTGTTTTGTTTTTTGGTACCGGGTATTGAACTCAGGACCTTATGCTTGTAAGGCAGGAGCAGTGCCACTGAGCTAAATCCCCAGCCTGAAAACGAGTTTTTTCTCCTTCCTTTTTGTCTTGTTTTTGTGGTGCTATGATTCAAACCCAGGGCCTCACACATGCTAGGAAATCAGTCTACCACTCGGCCAAATTGACAGCTTTTG